GTCCCTGCCCCGCCCTCCCACCCTCCTCGCGCCCCGACCCCTCTCCAACCCCGCGGCGGTCCGTGCCCGGCTGTCACAGTCGCGGCGGCGCTCGGCCCCTCGGCTCACCATGTTCCGGCGATGCGCGGGGCGAGGCTGGGCAGCAGGTGGCTGGCGGAGAGGGCAGCGCGGCGGCCTGGCGCACAGACTGCCGCCCCGGGGGCGGGGCCGCGCTCAGGCCGCCCTCCGGGTAATGATTAACGAGCTCGCCTCTGCCCCCTTCCAGCACTTTCCTCCGTGCACCAACCCGTCCGCCGTGCTTGTTTTAGGGGGCTGGGGCTGAAGGACGAGGGCTCCGAATGCTTCCTTCTGGGTCTAAATCATGCCCTCCCGTTTACCGGCTAGGTGACTAGGGGAGCCAGAGTAGCGTTTTCTTTTTTAAAAACTTTTTCCCGGCGTAATTGACATATGATAAGTTGTATATTTTTAAAATGTATATTTGAGAGTTTGATATGTTTGTCCCCTGTGAATCCATCACCGCATTGGAGATTGTGAACACACCCATTGCACCCTAAAAGTTTCCTCCTGCCTTTGGGTAATCCCTGCCTGCTTCCCTCCATCTCTCCTCCCAGGCAGCCTGACCTACCAGAAGCTCTGGAGTAGTTTACACTTAATAGGATTTGGGGTACCTGACGCCACACAGTGTATACTCAGCATTAGCCATCTTTGGGCTCATCCGTGGTGTAGCATGTCTCAGTCCCTTGCATTTTATGGCTAAGTACACATATTTTCAAGTATTAAGCTGAATAAATGACCAATTTGTTTAGCAGTTTGCTGTTGATGAGTATTTGCATTGTTTCCTGTTTTGACTACCACAAATAAAGCAGCTGTGAGCATTCATGTGCAACACTTCGTACAGATACACACATTCTTCTTGCATGAATACCTTGGAATGGCAGGTGTGGGCTCTATGTCTTAGGTTAGGTACCTCTTTATAAGTTACTAGGAATCAGCTCCACTCTTCCAAAGCAATGGTATCACTTTCCATTGGCGCCAGCAGTGTATGAGCATTCCAGGTCTACATCCTCAAGGACACTAGCTGTTTTGTTTGGTGTGCGGTAGTGTCTCATGGTGGTTTTGAGTTTCTTTAATGATGAGTGAGGTCAAATACCTTTTCATATGCTTGTCATAATTAAGTCTTCTTTAGTTACTTGCCTTTTGGAATTTCCTGCCTATTAAAAAAAATAAATTTGAAGTCCAGCAGACCGCATGGTGGTGAAGGTGCTGGATCCCACATGGCTGACTTGGCAGTTCAAGTCCAGAACCCAGCAGTTTGAAAATCACTCTGGTCATGGGTGCATGTCCAAAATTCAGAGAGAAGAATGGAGGAAAAGGGATTGTGGTGTGGCCATCTTCCCCCTGGGGAGTGATTTCTCACTTTCCCTCTCTCTCTGTTACTTTCTGTGAAGTGTATGCACCCTATAACAAAGCAAACATATAAATAAATAAATAAAGCATGTTGTTTTCTTATTGAGTTAGAAGTTTTTAATTCTAGATACAAAAACGTCATCAGAAACGTGATTTACAAATACGTTCTGTGCATTCTCTTACAGTGTCTTTCAAAGAGTGAATGTTCTTAACTTTGATGGAAACAATTTTTCCATTAAAAAATAGATTGTCGTTTTGGTATTGTATCTAAGAAATCTTTGCTTAACCCAAGGGCACAAAGACTTTCTCCTATATTTTGTCTTATGGTTTATAGTTTTGGCTTTACACTTAGGTCTGTGATCTATTTTGAGTTACTTTTTTTTTTTGAGAGAGAGATAAATTTTTGCTATAGGGCATGTGCACTCACCAGAGAGACAGAAAGCCCCAGAGGTATGGCCACACCACAATCCCTTCTCCAGTCTCCTCTCAGGATCTTAGGCATGCACACACCCGCACCTGGCGTGAGGTTTAAATTGCGGGTCCAGGACTCGAACCGTGGTTGACTACGTGGGAGTTCAGTGATGTAATCATTATGCCATCTTCTGGTCCCTTATGTTACCTTTTTTGTTTGTGTCAAATTATGGATCCAAATTCACTTTTTGCATATGGATATTCAATTATTCCTTTCTCCACTGAATTGCCTTAACTCCTTTGTAAAAATCCAATTGTTTGTGTGTGGGCTGATCTCTAGGCCCTCTCCTGTCCCACGGATCTATTAGTCCCTCTCACCATCAGTATCACACTGTCCTCATGACTATAGCTTTATAGTAACAGGTCTTCAAGTCAGGTAACGTAAATCCTCTAACATTTCAAACAACTTTTTTTCTTTTTACTTTTATCCCTCGACTCCACTTTTATTCTTCTCCCTCCAAGGGCAACCTCTCTGTGTTAATATGTATTTTTGTTTACACTTGCAAAATGTGCGTTGTATGCTTCATTTACATAAAGTGCATTGTGTAGACAGTCCTGACATACAAGGGGTCTTCAAAAGGCTCATGGAAATGCATATGATGAGAAATACCATGCATGGATTTCAAAATGTTTTGAACTTTGAATTTGTACTTTAATTCCATTTTCTTCAAACTTTTGTCAATACCCTCATATAACGGTTCGACTTCTGAGTTTTTAACTTTAAGATGGTGTGAAAGCGATAGGCGTTCAGTAGAAACCAGACTTCCAAGTGTGGATTTTGATCTTCTCCTGGGTAGTGATACGTGGTATGGTACTCTCTTGTGGGTGAACCTTGTTGTGCTGCTGGGCAGTGGCTGCGAGCCATTCCAGTTTTCCCCTTCCGTACAGTATTCAGTAAATGACGTGACACATTCAGCACTTTATTATAGACTAGGCTTTGTGTCCCGTGGTTTCCCCAACTGTCAGCTAACGTAAGCGTTCTGAGCACATCTAGGGCAGGCGAGCTAAGCTTCGATGTTCCTCCTGTAGGGTAAGTGTATCGATGCATTGCAACTTAACCACACTTTCCCTTTATGAGGGGTTATCGGGAGGTAACCCCGTTGGAAGTGGAGGAGCATCTATACCTGTTTCATTCTGTGCTTTACAAAACAGAATGCTCAATGGAAAATCAGGATCTAGTCATGCTGTTGCATGGACAGTAATCTGTAGCTCCTAACTGCCTCTTTGTATTCCATGTTGAGAATCCACTGTGGTTTACTGTTGTGGCAGCGATGGACACTCAGGTTGCTGCAGACCCTTCCACAGCCGCTGCCTCTCAAGCATGTGAGCGCACAGGTGCATGTGCGTGTATGCGAGTGTGTGCATGCACACCCACCCACACACAGTGAAACAACACGTAATGATGCTGCAGTGAACATCTCCAGTAACTCTCGGCCTGTGAGAAGTTTCTTCGCCATCTTAAATACACGCATACCCTGTAAATCCAGCTGTGCTCCCGTGGGTGTGTCTCTCACACAAGTCCAGATGTCGTCCAGCGTGGCTCCACGTCCTCCTCCTCACCGGCACGGTGTGAGGGTTCCTGTTTTCCTGTGCAGCTCACACAAACATGCTCACACGTGGCATCGTCTGGCTAATAGCTGGGAACGAGAGCTTGCTGTTTCACGCTGCGCTTTTCCTGGAAACTAATGGATGTGAGCGCCTCCTCATAGGCTTGCTAGTATTTGGGGCTTTCTGTTTGTGAATTGCTTTTTAGCATCCTTCGCCAATTTTTAAAGAATGTACGGTGCTCTCTCTTTTTAGTTGGCGGTAGGTATTTATATCTAGACATGAATCGCTTGTCAGTTTCAGATGTTGCAAGTATTTCCTCCCATTTGCCATCTGCATACCGGCATCTTCCTTGATGTCCTTTGTAGGCAGCAAGCTTATATTCTGGTTTCATAAGATTAGCCTTTTTCTTCCCCTCTGCTTTACAATTTTGTGCTTTTGAAGATATATTTGATAAGTCTTCCCCTCACCACTGCCATAAAAATAGTCTCTCTTTTCTTTTCTTAAAATGAAAAAAAAATGAATTTTATGCTCACCAGAGAGAGACAGAGAGAGAGAGAGAGAAAGCAAGTCACCAGGTCTGGGACTGAAACCACGGTCGGCCATGTGGGAATCCAGCACCTCAATCACCATGCCACCTGCTGGCCCCTCCTTTTTCTTTTTTATAATTTGCCACAGGGCATGGGTGTTTGCCAGAAAGACAGAGAAAGCAACAGAGAGGGAAAGTGAGAAAATGTGCCCCCCCCATGGGAAATAGTCATGCCACCATCCCTGCTTCACCTTCTTTCAGAATTTTGGACACACACACACACACACACACACGCCCAGTATGTTTCTCTTCCTTGATGTCCTTTGTAGGCAGCAAGCTTATATTCTGGTTTCATAAGATTAGCCTTTTTCTTCCCCTCTGCTTTACAATTTTGTGCTTTTGAAGATATATTTGATAAGTCTTCCCCTCACCACTGCCATAAAAATAGTCTCTCTTTTCTTTTCTTAAAATGAAAAAAAAATGAATTTTATGCTCACCAGAGAGAGACAGAGAGAGAGAGAGAGAAAGCAAGTCACCAGGTCTGGGACTGAAACCACGGTCGGCCATGTGGGAATCCGGCACCTCAATCACCATGCCACCTGCTGGCCCCTCCTTTTTCTTTTTTATAATTTGCCACAGGGCATGGGTGTTTGCCAGAAAGACAGAGAAAGCAACAGAGAGGGAAAGTGAGAAAATGTGCCCCCCCCATGGGAAATAGTCATGCCACCATCCCTGCTTCACCTTCCTTCTTTCAGAATTTTGGACACACACACACACACACACACACGCCCAGTATGTTTCTCAAGCTGCCGGGTCCAGGATTTGAACCACATAGTCGGCTTGTGGGATTCAGCTGCCTGAATCACACCACACTCTGCCCAGTCTCCCTTTTCTTCCACTAACTGTATAGTAAGACCTAAAGTAAAAATTGCCTTTGTGTACGTAGTGTTAGGGTGTTAGCTAGTCTCCAATGACAACCCCCAACAAAACTCGCCTCCCAATATTCATGCCCTGTGCACTTGTCTCCCATGTTGAACCTGGGCAGTTCTGTATGACCAATCGAGTGTGGGAGACCAGGTAACTTCTGAGCCCAGATCAGAAGCCCTGGAGTTGTGCTAATAATTACCCACCAGCCACGTGAGTCTTGTCAGAAGTTCAGACCCACCAAACCTCCAGATGGCTTCAGTCCAGCAAACCTCTGACTGCAGTCCCATGGGAGAGGCCAAACAAGACCAGTCAACCCCCAGGGCTGTGGGAAATACGATAATTTTGGGCATGAGCCACC